AGAGAGAGAGAGAGAGAGAGAGAGAGACAGAGACAGAGAGACAGAGAGAGACAGAGACAGAGAGAGACAGAGAGAGGGACAGAGTGAGAGACCAAGAGAGGATCAAAGCCTTAAGAAAACTCAGCTCTATTTGAGGCTGGAAGATGCACTTCCTCCTTATGGTCTGTTTGAAAAAGAGTCCCCCACTAGTAGAACTATGGAGACCATGACACTTCTGTGTAACACCGTTAAACTCACCCGTCACTGTAGTCACACACTACCTCTGTCCCTTTGCACAGTTTACGGACAATTTATTCGCTCATTCCTTTTTTCTTTTTTTTAAGGAGGCTTGTTAGGATTTTGTGTTTGTATCATCAGGTGTTGTAGTAGGCTCAACAGAAAACAGAACAGGTAAACATCTAAATTGTGATCTGGTTATGTCATTGTTTAGCTGTGTGTCCCAGAAGAAAAATAATGTAATTTCCTGTGTGCCCTCTGTTGACAGGTGTTAATTTCTATCGCACAGACATCACTAATTTCAGTGCAATGCCTGAACATAGAAACAGCTTAATAGATTCCTGTCACTAATATGAATTTTGATTCTCCTAAACATTCTAGGGAGTATTTTGTTTTGTTCTAATATGGTTTTGAGGGATTTTTAAATTATTTTTAATCATGTATGTGGGGGAGTGTGTGTGAGTACAAGTGCCAGTGGAGGCCAGAGGCATCAGATCCCCTGGAACTGGAGTTACAGGCAGTTGTGAGCTGCCTGACATGGGTGCTGGGAACTGAACTCTGGTCCTCTGCAAAAGCAGTCCTTGCTCTTAACTGCTAAATATCTCTCCAGCCCAGTTTTGTGTTTTGTTGTTTAAGATTTTATTTATTTTTATTTTTTGTGTATGAGTATTTTGCCTGCATGTATATAAGTGCACCACATGTGTGCAATGCCCAAGGAGGCCGAAAAAAGGTATTGGATCCCCAGGAACTGGAGTTTCAGATGTTTGTTAGGTGCCATGTGGGTGCTGGGAACAGAACCTGGGTCCTCTGCATCAGCAGCCGGTGCTCTTAACCACTGAGGCAGCTCTCCAGCCCTGCTTTGTTTCTCACACATGACCTCACATGGCCCAGGTTGATGTGAAGCTCACTGAGCTTCCTCTGCCTCCCAAATGCTGGGATTACAATGTGCACCACCACGACCCAGCTCTATTGCTGTGAATATTACTATATTGTTTGAGGTGTGTTTTTCATTTTTTGCTTTTTTTTTCTTTGCATGTCTTTTATATGGTTGTATTTTCAGCATTTTTCCAATTTTATGCTGAAATTTTCAAATATACAGTAATGTTGAATTGGATACAGTGAGCGTTCGTGTATGTGGCTTAGATTCCACCATCAACATTTTCAAATACGCAGCAATGTTGAATTGGATACAGTGCACACTTGTGTGCGGCTTAGATTCCACCATTAACATTTCTGCTGTTCAGGCTGAGCATCCTTAAGCTAAAAACCTAAACTGCAAAATGCCCCCAAACTTGAAACTTTTCAAATGTAAACATAAAGTCCCCTGAGATTGTTCAATGGGTAAAGGTGCTTGCTGTCAAGCCTGATAACCTGATTCCATCCTGGGAACCCAATGGTGAGCGCAAGGAAAACTCAGGGGAGACACCAGGTGTTCACTGAGATCAATAGCATCCTGTATAAACACAGAGGCTGGGACAGAGGAGATGGCCCAGCTGGTAGAGAACTGGCCACTCAAGCCAGTTTAGTCCCCAGCATCCATGTAAACACTGGGTAAGATGGCACACACCTATGATCCCAGCACCAGGAGGCACAGACAGGAAGATTCTCAAACCTTGCTGGCCAGCCAGGCTAACTGAATGAGTGAGCTCTAGGTTCAGTGAGAGGGCTTGTCTCAGAAAACAAGGTGGAGAACTATCAAGGAAAACATCCTACATCCATCTCTGGCATCCGCAAGCATGTGCACATGTGCAGAGAGAGAGAGAGAGAGAGAGAGAGAGAGAGAGAGAGAGAGAGAGAGAGAGAGAGAGGCGGGGGGGCGAGAGAGAGAGCGCAAGAGAGAGAGAGAGAGAGAGAGAGAGAGAGAGAGAGAGAGAGAGGCATGGGGGCCAGAGAGATGGTTCACCAGGTAAAGCGCTTGCCATGCAAGTGTGGGGACCAGATTCGGATCCCCAACACAGCACCAGTATAAATGTCGGGTGGCCTGCACAGGGGAGATGGAGATGGGATTCCTAGAGAAAGCTGGCTAGTCAGACTAGCCAAATCAGAGAGCTTTGGGTTCAAGTGAGAGACTTTGCCTCCATATACAACGTAGAGAGCAATCAAGGAAGACAATCAATGTCAACCTCTGGCCTCCACAATCACACCTTAACATTCACCTATGCACATGTGTGCGCAAACACACACACACACACACACACACACACACATATTAATATAACAACAACAACAAAAATAAGTGAGTGGAGGGGAGAGAAAGACAAAGGTGAGTTCAGGGCACAGGGGTAAAAGAAGCGAGGCCAGGCTCATGAGGTGCTAATCCTTGCCCCACCTGCCCTCTTGGGACTCTGGGATGGGCTGAGGTGATCCTCTGCAATTCAGGGCAAGTACTTTGAGATCCAGTTCAGCCGTGGTGGGGAGCCAGATGGAGGCAAGATCTCCAACTTTCTGCTTGAGAAGTCTCGTGTGGTTATGCAGAATGAGAACGAGAGGAATTTCCACATCTACTACCAGGTGCAGGGAGGGGGCTGTGGGCCTGGGGGCAGAGGGGGCTCAGCCTGGATCCGGGATGGAAGAAGGAGACAATGGGAAGGGCATGTGTGGGAGGGTAGGATGACCACAATGGCTATGCGAGGCCAGGGGAGATGCATGAGCTTCCTACACCCTCCAGCTTCTGGAAGGGGCCTCCCAGGAGCAGCGGCAGAACCTGGGGCTCATGACGCCTGACTACTATTACTATCTCAACCAATCAGACACCTACAAGGTGGAAGGCACTGATGACCGGAGTGACTTCAATGAGACCCTGGTGAGCGCCAACCTCCACTCCAGCCTTCACAGAGTCCTCTCATGTTACAAATCAGGAAACTGAGGCAGAAAGAGGTGCAGGCACTTACCCAAGGTTACACACAGGGGGCTGAGAAGATGGCTCAGTGGTAAAGTGCTTGCTGTGCAAGCGTGAGGACCTTAGTTTGATCCCCAGAACTCACATAAAGAAGCTGGGGCATACGGGCCTGGAAAAACAACTCAGAGCTTAAGAGCACTGGTTGCTCTTGCAGAGAACCTAGGTTTGGTTCCCAGCACCCATATGGTAGCTAACAATCCAAAACTCCAGTTCCAGGGGATCTGACACCCTCTTCTGACTTCCGTGGGCATTGCACAGCATGGGTGCACTTAAATACATGCAGGCAAAACACTCATACATATAAAATTTAAAGAATAAGATGAGGGTGGAGAGACAGCTCAGTGGTTAAGAGTACTGGCTGCTCCTGCAAAAGACCCAGGTTCAGTTCCCAGCACCCACATGGCAGCTAACAACTGTCCATAATTCCGGTTCCAAGAATCTGACACTGGCCTCTCCAGGTTTGCCCACACATGGTACATTTACATACATGCAGGTAAAACACTCATGCACATAAAATAAACATAAATAAATATTTTTTTAAAAAAAGAAAAGAAACCCATGTGTGGTAGCACATGCCTTTAATCCCAGCAATCAGGAGGTAGAGGCAGGCAGATCTCTGTGAGATCAAGGCCAGCCAGCTTGATCTCCATAGCTGGGGCTCCAGAAAGAACCTGTCTCAACCCTGTTTTTAAAAAGACCGAAAAATAAAAAAGGTGGAGAGTAATAGAGAAATACACCCAATATCAATCTCTGGTCTCCACATGCATGCATGTGCATAACACACACACACACACACACACACACACACACACACACATACACACACACAGAGCAAATCAGGTGGCTGGGGAGATGGCTCAGTTGCTAAAGTGCCCATGATACGAGCATGAGGATCTGAGTTCAATTTCCAGCACCCATTAAAAAATAATAAAGCCAGGCATGGTGATAGGTGTTCATCATCCCAGTGCTAGGGAGGCAAAGACAAGCAGATTCCAGGGCTCACCAGCCAGCCAGTCTAGACCCTGTCTCATAAAACAAGGTGGACAGAGCCTGAGAAATAACACTCAAACACACATGTAGCATGCATACGCACAGATAGACCAAGTATCCAAATAGCTTGTCTCCCTAAGTCTATGCTGTGGCCTCAGGAACCTGATGCTGGGGCCAGGGTGGAGACAAAGCTGGTGGCATAAGCTCTGTCCATGTCCTACCCACAGAATGCCATGCAGGTCATTGGAATTCCATCCAGTGTGCAGCAGCTGGTCCTGCAGCTCGTGGCAGGGATCTTGCACCTGGGGAACATCAGCTTCTGTGAAGAGGGGAATTACGCTCGTGTGGAGAGCACAGACCGTGAGTGTGGGCGATACTGAAGGAAGGGTGTCAGCCTCGTGCATATGGACTGCTTCTTCCCACTCAGATTCCAAGAGAACTATGTTGGAATCACGGGGCAAGCTAGGGAGGAAGGGAGGCACCCACAAGTGTCCAGGAGCCTGACCAGCTGCCTCTTTTTGCCCTGGCCTGGCAGTCCTGGCCTTTCCAGCCTACCTGCTGGGCATAGACAGTGGGCGGCTGCAGGAGAAGCTGACCAGCCGTAAGATGGACAGCAAATGGGGTGGACGCAGTGAGTCCATTGACGTGACCCTCAATGTGGAACAGGCGGCCTACACCCGTGATGCCCTGGCTAAGGGACTCTATGCCCGCCTCTTTGACTTCCTGGTGGAGGTGAGTGGGAACAGGGCTGGGGAGCCTGGTGGATGTCTAGTGCCCACCAAACCCACAGTGCTTGGAAAAGACAAGGTTGGAAAACAGGCTTGACTTTCCTTCTCAACAATTTCTGGAGGTAGGGAGCATCTGAAATCCAAAACACTTCCTTCAAGATTCCAAACTTTTGAAAAAGCACCAATATGAAACTACAAGTGGAAAATTCCATCCCTGACTCCATGGGGCCACAGCCAGACCACAGGTGCACTAAAAATTGGGCCTGATAGGGCTGAAGAGATGGCTCAGCAGTTAAGAGCAATTCATGCTCTTGCAGAAGACCAGGTTCAGTTCCCAGTACCCACATAGCAGCTAACAACTGACTGTAACTCCAGTTCAAGGGAATCTGATGCCCTCTTCTGGCCTCTGAGGGCATTGCTCACATATGGTGTACATACATGCAGGCAAAACACATAAAATGAAAATATAAAATATTTTATTTTAAATAGTGCATGTGGGGCTGGAGAACTGGCTCAGTGGTTAAGAGCACTGGCGGCTCTTGCAGAGGACCTGGGTCTGGTTCCCAGCACTCACATAGTTGCTAACAACTGTCCGATGCCCTCTTCTGACCTCCAAGGGTATTGCACAACACCAGTGCACTTACGCAGGCAGTACACTCATACACATAAAATTAAATTAAATTAAATATTGACTGCTAAATAGTGCATGTGCTATATATGAAATGTAAATGAATTTCATGTTCAAACTTGAGTCTCATGCTCATGATGGCTCAGGTAGAAGTAAATGTGTTCCCAGAACTGAAATGCAAAACACTTCTGGGCCAAAATATTTCCAATTAGGGATAGTCAACCTGCAGTTGCTTTTTATTTTATTTTTTGGTTTTTTTGGAACAGGGGCTCCCTATAGTCTCACCTGGCCTGGAACACACTATGTAGACCAGTCTGGCCTTGATCTCACAGAGATCTGCCCTCCTCTGCTTCCCCAATGCTGGGATTAAAGGCAGGGCATAGGCTAAGTGGGAGATCTGACTCTGGAGTCATGAGTGACAAAGCTCCCATACTTGGATTTCTTGAATGGGGGTGAGAAAACTAGACACAGGCCAGAGAAAAATCTGCTGAGAGGGGATAAAGCCCATAAACTTCACTAAAAAGATATCAAGGCAGGCAAAGGATGAAGTGACATGACTTAGAAGGTAGAAATGCTTGCCACCAAGCCTGCTGACCTGAGTAGGATCCCTGAGATCCACATGGTAGGAGAGAATCAACTCTTCAAAGTTGTCCTCTGGCCTCCACACGTGCTGTGGCATATGCATACACACACACACACACACACACACACACAAAATAGATTATAGATAGATGATAGATAGGTAGATAGATAGATAGATGATAGATTAGATAGATAAAGATAGACAGATGATAGATAACAGATAGATGATAGATAAATGATGGATAGCGATAATAGATAGATAGATAGATAGATAGATGGATAGATATATGATAGGCAGATAGATAGATAGATAGATAGATAGATAGATAGATAGATAGATAGATAGATAGATGTAAAGCATATCAAGGGGATGGAAAGGTGGCCCAGTGGTTAAGAGCACTTACTAGGCCACCACAAGTCACTGAGTTTGGATTCCAGCACCCATGTAACAAGCCAGGCATGGTCTTACACACCTGCAAACCTTTGCTATTCAGGGAGGAGACTTGTTGCCAGCCAGCTCCAGGTTCACGGAGAGATCCTGCTTCAAAGGAGTAACATGGAGAGCAATAAAGGGGGATGTCCAATGTCCTCCTCTGGTCTCCGTGTGTCTCTCTCTCTCTCTCTCTCTCTCTCACACACACACACACACAGTCTCTTTCACACACCACATAGGCCACAGTCAGAGAGAGAGAGAGAGAGAAAGAGAGAGAGAGAGAGATTGAGAATTAGAAAAAAAGCATTTTCTATCATATTTTCTATCATATCAAGAGAGTGGTGGCAGGCTGTGTGCTGTGGTGGCAAACTGTGTGGTATGGTGGCAGGCTGTGTGGGCTGGCCCTATGCTGACCTTCTGTCCCACCTGCCCCAAGGCCATCAACCGCGCTATGCAGAAGCCACAGGAAGAATACAGTATTGGTGTCCTAGACATCTACGGCTTCGAGATCTTCCAGGTTTGGCCCCTGATCTCCCCCAATCCCTACCCCATATCCTGTCCTGCCTGTCACCCTAGCCCACTCAGTGGCCATGAGAGCCTCCAGCACAGCCCACAGACAGAAGAACCCTTTTCCTTCCTCGGCAGAAAAACGGCTTTGAGCAGTTCTGCATCAACTTCGTCAATGAAAAGCTGCAGCAGATCTTTATTGAGCTCACCCTGAAGGCAGAGCAGGTGCGCCAGAACACCAAGCCACCTAGAACAGGATTCTGAATTCAAGCATCGGGTCACTGAGCCACTGGGGGACCCCACAAACACCCCGTTCCCACTTCTCTCTACTCACTGTGTTAGAGTCAGCTTTCTGTTACTATGATGAAATACCCAAGATAATCTTTTGTGTTGTTTTGTTTGTTTTGAGACAGGGTCTCCCTATGGAGCCCTGGCAGGCCTGGAACTCACAGAGACCCACCTGTCTCTGACTTCTTAGTGCTGGTATTAAAGGCATGTGCCATCATATCTGGCCACTGGCTAATCAATTTATAAAGAGAAAAAGGAGGCTAGGGATGTAGCTCAATTGGCAGAGTGCTCACCTGACATGCACAAATCCCCGGGTTCCATCCCCGGCGCTGCACAAATGGAGCTACACACCATGATCCCAGCACTCAGGAGGTAGAGGCAGGAAGATCAGGAGTTCAAGGTCATCCTCGGCTACATATGATGTTTAAGGTCAGCTGGGTTACGAGACCCTGTCTCAAAAATAAAATAAGAAGAGCCCAAAGCCCAAATAAAATTCTACTGAGCAGGTTATAATTCGGGCAGCTGTGCTTCAATTCTGCTGAGACGTAAAACAAGTCACAGAGTTGGTCTAGCAGAAGAGTGGAAAAGTTGGGGTACTTATCCACCAGCTCCTGCTGGTTGTAGGTCAGTGGGGACCAGAGGCTGGGATTTCATTCCATAGGTCTTCTAGCTTACCTTGCCACAAATACATACTTGGGCTTCATTGTCAGGCAGCCCTGAGGGATGGAATGGGTCCACAGCCACATCTTCTTCATGGACTCCCCTTCCTACCCCCATTTTCCACTCCCCAGGAGGAATATGTGCAAGAGGGCATCCGCTGGACCCCCATTGAGTACTTCAACAACAAAGTCGTGTGTGACCTCATCGAAAATAAGCTGGTGAGAGCTGAGCTGACTTTAGGAAGGCTCTCACAACCCCCTCACCACCACCACCACCCCCAGCTGGACAGGGTGAACCTGGGAAGGATTTATGACACTCTAGGGGCCAAGAAGATAGAGCACAGCTGAAATATCTTCCAACCATCTCATTCATTGATTCATTTGCCCCTTTCTTTTAGTCACTCAACAAACATTTCCCTAGGTAACCTTTTCAGAGTTACAGGGATCGAAACTGATAGATTTCCCAAGTGATACCAGTGTGGAGAAAGGAAAGAGGCACGGATTCCCTGCAGCCCAGGAAATTTCCACAGCAACACACACACACACACACACACACACACACAGCATCCCAGCCACCACCTTTTGCCCTTGTATTTAGGCGCCCTCTGCCCCAACCCAGAGCTCACCCAGTGCTGACCACAGAGATGAGGCAGGACCCCAGCCAGGCTGAGCCGGGACTCTGCTTACCCCTCAGAGCCCCCCAGGCATCATGAGCGTGCTAGACGACGTGTGTGCCACGATGCACGCCACCGGAGGAGGCGCGGACCAGACCCTGCTGCAGAAGTTGCAGGCGGCGGTGGGCACCCACGAGCACTTCAACAGCTGGAGCGCTGGCTTCGTCATCCATCATTACGCAGGCAAAGTGAGTGCAACTCCCAGTCCCTGCCTGAGCGGTTGTGTTCCTCACTGATCCCGGGACTCAGGATGGCGGACCTCCAATCCACAAGGCTGAGCCCCTCTTCCAGAGAGCCCCCTACTGACCAGAACCCGGAACCTTCCCGATGACCCACAGGCCTTTGCTCTCAGATTGCCTGCCCCCCCCCCAACACACACATGTCCCCTCAGCCAGGGCTGCGGACACACACTGGCTTCTGTCCACAGTTTGCCCAACTAACACGGCAGCGCCTTAGGGACAAGGCGCAGTACATACCACACCATGGAAACCAGTTGGAGACTTCCCCGAAGACCAGGGCTCTTCCCTGTGCCCAGACACCCCAATGCCCAATATGAGTTGCAACCCTCTGACTGAAACATGACCCTCACCTTCTGATTCCAACTTGGAAAGCAAACACCCCAAAACCCAAGACCTGGGTTACAAGCAACCAAAAATGGACTGGAGCAGCCCCATCCCACCCCTCCCAGAGGCTACAAGAATTCCCTAATCTGCACAAGCTACAGCCACCTCCTCTGAGATGTTCCTGGCATGCCTCCATGACCTCTGTAGAGGGAGCAGATATTCCCAGAGGTCTCCAGCCTATGCTGCCAGCCATCAACCCCTAGAATAAGACATAGCAGCACATCTCCCTCAGCCAGGGCTGCAACAGCCAGGAGCAAGACCACTAATAGACTGGTTCTTAGACAGCAGTCTCAGCCCATCTCCTGGCTGAAGCCCCTCCCTCCAAGAATCTACAGCAGAGAGGCGCTAAACCTATTCATTCCCTTGTCATGTGAAGGTTGCACACATCTATAATCCCAGCACTTGGACATGGAGGCAGGAAGATCAGAAGTTCAAGGTCATCCTTGCCCACATAGGGAGTTTGAGGCTAACCTGGGCTATATGCTTTTGATCAAAACTGCAGCCCTGATCCTCAGCCTGAACACCTCCCCTCACCTCTGACCCCAACCTTCATCTCCCAATTTCCAGAACAGACTTCCAGGCAGCCAGGACCCAAGCAGCAGCTTATAACTCACTATTCTGAACAGCTCCAGCTGTTGAAGTTTCTTCTAAACTATACAGAACCCCAAGCTGTCTCACCCTGAGCAGACCCCACAGGACTCCTGGCCCACCTGCCTCAGCATCCATATATGAAAGTCTCTGCACCTCACCAACCTTCAACACTGTCTCCCTTCAGGTCTCCTATGACGTCAGTGGCTTCTGTGAGAGGAATCGTGATGTTCTCTTCTCTGACCTTATAGAACTGATGCAGTCCAGTGAACAGTGAGTAGTCCCAGGTGTGGGGGCCTTCGGGCAGAACCCTCAGAGGGATGGAGGGCTGGGGACCACTCTATCTTCCCCAGGACTCAGTCACACTACATGCCAAGACGTGATTCCGATTTAAAACTCTAAAGGCTCTGTAGCTCAGTGATGAGTGCTTCCCTAGAGCATGTGAGGCCTTGGGTTCCAGTCTCAGGACAAGGGAAAAAGGAAACTCCAAGTACACAGCTGAGAAATGAATCCTGTTCTTCAGACCCCCAGGGCACTTTCCCAGAGGAAGTCTCTGAGTTAGTTGCTTTCCTTTCCCATCTGGAGCTCCTCCCCTCAAGAGCCCAGTGATTGGACAGTTGCCCTTTAAACAAAGTGAACACACCTTACAGGGGTTGAGGATTTAGCGCAGGTGATGTGCTAGGCAAGACCTGGGTTCCATCCCCAGTACTATATAAACTAGGCACGGTTGTATATTCCTGCAACCCCAGCACTTGGGAGGTAGAGACAAGAGGATCAGGAGTTCAAGGTCATCCTCAACTACATAGTAACTTTGAGGTCAGCTGGGGCCAGGTGAGACCCTGTCTCAAAACAAACAGGCTCCGGAGATGACTTAGTTGGTAAAGTACTTGTTGCATAAACCTGAGGATCTGAGTTTGGATCCCGAGATCCCACCTAAGCTCAGTGTAGTGCCATAAGCATCTGTAATCCCACTAGGCCTTGGGGAAAAGGGACCCAGAGACCCAAGGATCTCCTGAAGTTTGAGAGCCATCCAACCTGACTTAAGAAGAGACCCCATCTCAAACAAAGTGGAAAGGTGACCAACGACACTCAAAAGTCATCCTCTGACCTCCATGGTGCATACACACACACACACACACACACACACACACAAAGACCCTATCTAAATAAATTAACAGGCAAATAGGGAAAGATGCAGACAAGGTACTTGGAATCAGTAAACACTGGTCTTAGAAACCCAGAGCAAGAATTGGCTCCACCTCTCGAATGGGAATTTCATTACTAGGGAAGTGTTCTGTCCAGAGCACCTTGTCTCATTTAAGGCAGCCCTAAAGAATGTTAAAGAAGGTTGGAGAGATAGCTCAGTGGTTAAAGGTGCATACTGCTCCTCCAGAGGACCCTGGCTCAGTTCCCAGCACCCACACAGCAGCTAACAACTACCTATGAGTCTAGTTCTGGAGGATCTGATGCCCACACAATGCACATACATATATGCCAGCAAATGCACACATAAAATAAAAAATAAACATATATTTTTTAAATGTAAAAGAAGTTGGGAGGCAGAGACAGGTGGTTCTCTGTGAATTCTAGCCCAACCTGGCCTACATAGCAAATTCCAGGTCATAGTGAGGCTATATAGTGAGACCAAGGCTACATAGTGAGACCCTATCTCAAAAAAGGGGAAAAGGGGGGCTGGAGAGATGGCTCAGCAGTTAATAACACTGGTTGTTCTTGCAGAAGACCCTGGTTCGAATCCCAGCACCTACATGGCAGCTAACAACTGTCTGTAACTCCAGTCTCAGGGGATCTGACAGCCTCTTCTGACCTCCACGGGCATTGCACAACACGGGTGCACTTACATGCAGGCAATACACGCATACACATAAAATAAAAATAATAAATAAAAAAATTTTAAAGGGAAAAGAAGAAATGTTAATTATGAAATTTGTTACACAAATCTATACATACACGTGAGTTATACAAAGTACACTTGTGGACTGAGAAAAGAATCAGGTCATCTACATAGCAAATTTGAGGCCAGCCTGGACTATGTGAGACTCTGCTTCAAAAATAAAATAATGGGCTGGAGAAATGGTTCAGTGGTAAAGAGCTCTTTCAGAGGACCTGGGTTCAGTTCCCAGTACCCATATCAGGCAGTTTTGAACTGCCTGTAACTACAGTTCCAGGGAATCTGACACTCTATTCTGACCTGTACACACATATGGTGCACATACTTATACTCAGGTACACACAAACACATAAAATAAATCTTTTTTTATATTTTATTTATTTTTATTTTATGTGTATGAGTGTATTGCCTGCATGTATGTGAGTGCAACCTGTGTCCTGAAATGCCCATGGAGGTCAGAAGAGGGTATCAGATACCCTGGAACTGGAGTTACAGATGACTGTTAGCTGTCATGTGGGAGTTGGGAACTGAACCCAGGTCCTCTGCAAGAGCAGCTGGCTAGTGCTCTTAACTATTGAGCCATCTCTCCAGCCCCAACAGTG